CCAAATTGGGTATCAACATCACTATTCACAGACAACGAAATGTTTTTTCATTATATTTTTTTCATTTTTGTCTGCACTGTGCATTTTTGTTATACTTAAAAAAAATAAAAAATAAAGAGTTAGTATCATTGGGGGAAAAAAAAAACCAATAAAATGGTCCATACAAAATTTTGTATAGTTATGTCATAAATCTGTACAGCAATTTTGCAAGCTGGCAAAAGTTAATTTAGCCTTTAAATCATGCTGTTCATTTATAGGATGCTAGTAAATTTTGTCTGTCCTTTTTTTGGTTTTGGATTAAAAAGTTTGTAAATTTGTAAGTTTTAGTTCGAGTGGTGTTCGAATTCGAGTTTAAACCCTTAACTAGATGAGTTTAATTGAACTCGTTAACTAAACAAATCAATAATCGTTCAATTTCAACTCGTTTATCATTAATAGCAGGTTGTGAGTTAACAAGCCGAACTATTGAATAATATATATATAAAAAAAAATTGAGTCATAATATATGTTATCTGAGTTGAGCCGAACTGAGCCCACGAACAACTTGTTTTGTTTTAACAATTCTAACTCTCCACGTGATCGGGCATAAGGGTCGAATCTACTTAAACGATCGGCCTTATTCTTGCAAGTTAATTTATATAACCATCCAAAGTTTAATACTCTATAACATACTATATAGTATACAACCGTGATTTTTTTTTTTAACCAGATATTAATTTGACAATGCCATTTTTCATAATAGTATTGCATGGAATGAATTGAAATCTATTGACATTAACAACGTGAATTATAAGCATTTAGGCTTTAGCATCAATTTAAATTATATGCAAACTTCTTATTTAAATCTATTTTCTAAATTTAAATTAGTGGTTTATATGATCATGGTATCTCATCTTATAATACAATTATTTTGGAGAAGATGACAACACTCAATTATTAAATTTAATTACAGCTATGCTTTTAAAAATGAATGAATATGCATGCATGTGTTATCTCGAAGTGCTCAATATTCTGTTTAATTTAATATTTGTAACCTTAGATTTTGGGGTTGAATCTTTTTGGAAATATAACAATAAAGCTAACAAATAGTAATAATTTAATACATCACGAATATGCATGGTTTTGAGATTGTTTTAATTGAAAAACATTAATTATTTCTTTATACTTTGTCAAACATTAATGGGAAAAAAAAAGAATGAAAGAAATAGTCAATCTTTACATTAAATGAAAACGTTGAATTTCATGCACCTTTGAAAAATGGGTAGCTTATTTAATTAAAAAAAAAAAGAAAAATCTGTGCCAAAAAATAAAAGAAAAAAAATGGTTGTGGACAAGAATCAAACGGACGGATTTTGGAAATCCGTT